TCATAATTACTTAATTATATGTTCATAATTATAAAGTTATATATTCATAATTTTTGAACTTCATATTCACAATTATTGAATCTCTATATTCATAATTACATAACTATATGTTCATAATTATAGAACTATATATTCATAATTATGAACAATTTTGGAACCGTGTCTACCATGCAAGGTGGACATAGTTTCACATCATAATTTGTCAGGTCAATAGTACTCAAAAATAAAACATGAGCATTTGGATTTCTCAATACTTGCCCACATTGATGGTCAAACAATTATGTTTGTAAGAGGAGCTCAAGAACTCCTCTTTCCAAACATTTTCAATGTGGGATGAGGAGCTCAAGAACTCCTCTTTCCAAACATTTTCAATGTGGGATCAAAATGATCTAGCATTATTTACAAATAGAGCCCGTGGATCCCTTTTGTCTTCTTCTTATTATTTTTAATTTTAAATTTAATTTTATTTTGTATATTGTTTCGTTTGGATTATTATTATTATTATTATTATTATTATTATTATTATTATTATTATTATTATTATTATTATTATTTGTAATTTGATTATTGATAAATTCACCAAAATTATAATAAATTCGTCATTTTAACATTTTAACTTTAATCAAAACATTAAAATCAAAATATATTATATAATAACTCAATATTTTGCTCCAAACAGCTAAAAACTAATACAACACATATATTTTGGGTTAATCTTCCACAACCCCTACTAATAATAAATAAATAAAAACTAAAATAAGAAGACAAAGTTAAAGCTTCTTAAATAAGAACCTTTTGACTTCTCAATACTTGACCACATTGATGGACAAGCAATTATGTTTATAAGAGTCTCATTGCTCCTCTTATATAGATGAGCTCTCTCTTTTCAAACATTTTAAATGTGGGATCAAAATGATCCCACATCATTTACAAAGGGTGCCGGTGGCTCGCCTTTGTCTTTTTTTTTTTCTTTTTTTTTTGGTTAATTTTAATTTTATTTTGTATATAGTTTTTTTTTTTGGATTATTATTATTATTGTTGTTGTTGTTGTTGTAATCTGATTATTTGGTAAATTCGTCAAAATTTTAATAAATTCGTTTGTTTAACAGTTTATATTTAATCAAAACACCAAAAATATTATTTAATAACTTAGCAATTTGCTCCAAACTGCTAAAAACTAAAACAACTCATATACATTTTGGGTTAATCTTTCTCAAACCCCCTAATAAATTTTTAAAAAAAAATTAAAAAAAAAAAACTAAAATAAGAAGCCATTAAGATAAGGTTTCTTAAATAAGAGCCTTTTGACACGTTGGGTTTCAATAGGTTGAGAAAGTTTACATGTTACAGGGTCAATCGAATAGTTATGTTGTGGAACCGTGTCCACCTTGCAAGGTGGACACAGTTCTATGTTTATAATTACTAAACTATATGTTCATTATTATAAATCTATATATTCATAATTTTTGAACTTCATATTCATAAGTACGTATTGAACTCTATATTTATAATTACAGAACTCTAAATTCATAGTTACTGAACTATATGTTCATAATTATAAAGATATATATGTGATACTGCTAATTACGCGTAAGCAATATATAACAACACGAGACCAATTAAAGCAATTAAATATCTTTATTGATCACGGTAAGGCCCTAAGCACAATCTACTTGGTTGCACTGAGTACCGACTGACTGCGGTCGGGATTCTCTAACAACAACCTATCGATCGTCCAAAAGTCCTTTACACTGTAGCTACTGTGGGTATTTATAGCCGCTATGCCGGGGACAGGATTCCAGCCGTTCGGCATGTCCTCCACGTAGCCACCACGTGTCATCCTCCCGGGTGCCCTGCCTGTCGATGTAAAGAGCCGCCACGTGTCCTTTGTCAGCTCTTTCGCCAAAGGGCTACTGCTCGGCGGTCGACACCGTCGCTCGGGCAACTCCCGGTCGGTCAACGGCCGGGTTCTTCTCGTGGTGCCCGACCTGTTACCTGCAAAGACAAGGAGAAAGAGACAAAGGCTCCTCGGTCGTGGTGAAGCTATGTCGGTCGGGATATTCCCTACCAAGAGCCCCCCAGCCCGGGCCTTTTTGATCAGTCGGGAAAAAACGGGACGGGATGAAGAAGCCCAACCGCCAGCCACCAAGCCGACCTGCCAGCTGTCATTCCCTCCTACGCCACGTGTCGGCCTCTGCCGGCCTCGGCGATCCCATCCGTCGCCTTGGATTCAGCGCGGATCGTGTCAGGCAAGTTGGCCCATTTCCCGCCTAAATGCCCTCCTATAAATAGGCCCTTGAGGCCCTCATTTGAACTTTCCTCACTCTTTTGCTTCAGTCGGTATCCTCTAAGAATCCCGAGCAGAGCATCTCAGCAAGGCGATCAAGCAAAGCAAAACTTCAGATCCTCTTCCAAGTTTCTTCACTCGGTAAGCTCTTAGTTCTTTACTCTTTCTTTACTCTTCACTTAGCGTAGAAGTAGGATAGCACTAACTTCGAGC